TCCATCCACCCATCCATCCACAAGCTACCAATCCAGCTACAGCTCCCTGAACCCATCGTCTACTCCTTCACCCCTTGCCCACCCACTCCCTGCCCAGCCCTCTACTCGCCCGTCCGCTCCAACATGCACTAAGTCAGTTGCTGAGAGCTGAAGCAGATTTGACGCGTCCTCGCTTTTTGTGAGACCCCAGCCTGGTGAGGTGAGATCCAGGTGGGGACCACCTCACCTCAGTGTGGCCATGTCTGGAGAGGCGGAGAGACCCACCCCAGGGGGATCTCAGGAAGGGCTGTGAGGGCTCTGCTTAGGAGGGTGCGGGGAAGGCAGCAGGGAGGAGGGGCCTTTCGCACTGTCTTGAAGGAGGGAAAGCAGCTCCTGGGCGGTGGGAATGGGGAATGGGAGGCATTCCTGGCAGAGGGTTGAGCTTGGGCAAAGGCCAGAGGCTTGAAAGAGAACAGAGGGAGGTTGGGCTCTGTGAGCTCCATGACGCATGTGGCGACGGGGAGCCACGCCAGGTCCTTGAGGAGGTGAGGACCCTGTCCATTGCCAACCTTCCTGCCCCATTCTTACAGATCTGGAGGTGACGCCCGGCCCTGGGGCCTACAGCCCAGAGAAGGTGGCCCCCACGCGCCAGCGGACCCCCCCAGCTTTCACCCTGGGCTCCCGCTTCCGCCCGCGGCCCCTGGACACCTCAGTCCCTGCCCCCAACACCTACACCCTGCCTTCCCTCTGGGGCTCCCAGATCTTCACCAAGCCCAGCAGCCCAAGCTACACGGCAGCAGGCCGCACGCCCCCCGCCCGACCCCCGCAGGACCCCACTGAGATACCGGGTCCAGGCCAGTATGATAGCCCGGACCCCAACGCCTACCGTCAGCGCCGGCCGGCCTTCACCATGCTGGGGCGGCCCCGAGCCCCACGCCCCCCGGATGAGACGCCTGGCCCCGGCACCCACAGCCCCGAGCAGGTCACCATGACCAAGGCCAGGGCCCCGGCATTCACCATGGGCATCCGCCACTCCAAACGGGCCACCACCATGGCCGTGGACACCGCACCCTGATGCCCTTGGGGGACAGGACGCCTGGCCTGGGCTGAGCCTCAGTTTCCCATGCTGTGAAGTGGGGTGTGGGCAGGTGGTGGGCGTGCCTAGGAGAAGCCAGGGTGGGGGGAAGGTGCCTCCTTTCTTCCTGTTCTCTGAACTGTCTGAGGTCCTTCTAGGCCACCTGCTTTCTCCAGTCCCGGGGGGGCTGTGACCCCGTGGTCCCGACAGGGAGAGCCTCCTTCCAGCGTCCCAGTTTCTTCTCTCCGGGTCACACCAGGCCAGGTCAGGCCAGGCCAGGTGGAAAAAGGGACACTCTGGTCCTCTCGAGCTGTTGGCTGGAGGCACGGCTTCCTGTGTCCTAGAACTCAGTGTCTGCCTGCTAGGGCCTGGGTCCCCAGCACAGCTTGGGTTTCTGCCAAACTTGGGCTCATTCCTGCTACTCATGGAAGCACTGAATTCAGCCCCGAATCAGGCTGGAAACAGCCCTCCTGCCCCTTCACACTCTCTAGCTGCTTGCCAATAAATCCCCGTGGCACCAGGAGCTGTCCGCATCACACACGCGTTGTCTGTTCATGTCACAGGAAGGAAACCCAAACACTGCTCCCGAGATCCAGACCCCCAACTCTGCAGCCCCTGGGGATCTGGATGGGACCAGAGACAGGATCCAGGGGTACAGGAAGCGAGAGGTGGGGGCCAGGGCTTTGAGTGGGGGGAGCTAGCCAGGTAGGCTTCTTGGAAGAAGGGACACTGAAGCTGGGCTTTGAAGGATGCATAGGAATTTGACGGAGTCTAACATTTGCCATCAGTAGGTTCCTACTGTGTTCCAGATATCGATAAGATCATCTCACAGTGACTCAGGAGGCACGTCATGTTTACCAAGGGGAAACAGGGCTTCAGGGAGTTTGGACACTTGTCTGAGGGCACTGAGAATGTGTGTCCTTCTGATGCCAGGATGTAAATCCTGCCCTTTGGGCTCTGTTCCTGCCGCTCTTTCCCAGGGACGGGAATGAAACACGTGGATGGAGTCCTATAACCGTACCCTCCATGGGATGACACGTTATAAACCCCAGCCCAGAAAGACCCTAACCCAGGAGCTTGGGAGGGACACAGACTGCACCTCGACTCCCTGGAGGAGAAGACACGGAGCGGGGGGTGGGGTGGGGTAGGGTGGGGGTGGACGCAGTAGGCAGGACCTAGAGGGCTCCTGGGGTGGGGGTCAGCTCTCTCCCCCCAGCCTGGGGTGCCAAACTTGAACACACACCCTTCACCCAACTAGGTGGACATACCAGGACCCCCCTACACACACACCTGGGCGGGAACCCAGACTCCCTCCTCTCTCTCCCTCTCCCCGCCCCCCACACCTGGACACACACACGGTCAAATCCGCACATAATATACATACAACCCAACCCTCACACAGCCCACAAGTTTGTAGTCCACAACAGACACAGAGCGCACAGAGTCCAGGTGGGGGCTCCAGACCCCGCCAAACGTCACCCGCCCACACCGACCCAACGCCACGCTCTCCCCGCCCGCTCCTCGCGGACCGCAGGCGCACAATGGCTCCCTAGGCGAGAGACTGGGGCCTCGGGCATCGCAGCCCCCGGTCCCCCCGCCGGCCAATCACGGCCGCGCGCGCCCCTCCCGCCAGCCCCCATCGCCGCCTCCTCCCCAGCCCGCGGGAGGCGGCCGCGCGGTGATCTCACCGCTCTGATTTATCGATCCGGCCCCTAGCGGCCGCGCCCCTCCTTCCCTTCCATCGCCACCTGCCCCGGCCCCGGCCCCTCCCTTTGTTTCCCGGCAGCCGGCCCTGCCTGGGGCGGGGTTGGAGGGGGAGGGGAGGGGATCGGCCTGCTCCGGGCCGGGAGGCTGGGTCCTGGGGTGACCGAGACCGTCCTTTCCCCGGTGCAGAGGCGGCAACCCTTGAGGCCTTGGCGGACGGACAAGCCGGCAGGCCTGGGAGGCTCAGGCCCTGGAGTTCAGTTGAGTTGATGCCGGACGGGGCCCCCCAGAAATGGAGGAGAAGCCCGTGACCCTCCGGCCCGCGCCCCTGGCTTACAGCCGGGGAAAGTGAGGCCCAGGGCAAGGCAGCGTAGGGCCCGAGTCTGCGCTGCGTGTCCTCGGGCGCACACCCCTTCCCCTCTCGGAGCCTCAGTTCCCCTGTCAGGAAATAAAGCAGGGCCTGATTTTCAAGTACTTCCGGCAGGAACAGAGGGGCTAAGCTTAGGGGCTGGGGCGCTCTCCTTCCTTGACCGCGCCTCCGCCCCTCTCCAGACCTCAGTTTCCCGACGGCGAGAAGGGAAGAAAGGAGGTGATTTATAAGTCTCTCCCGCCTCTGTGCTTCTAGGAACTCGGGCGACGGGTGGGGGTCGAAGTGAGGGGTCGCTGCCCCGGCCCTGGGTTCGAAACTTCGCTTCCTCCCTGGCTGCCGGACCCGAGTCAGCGCTCGTGCCCTCGGCGGGCCTCAGTTTCCCCAGCCTCCCCGCCGGGCACCGGGGCGCCAAGGGCCGGGGGTCCCAGGGGCGCAGCCCCCCGCGGCTGCGCGCTGGGCCGGACGGATGACATCACCGGGCCGGGGGCGGGGAGCGAGCGGGAGGGAGCGGGAGGGCCTCCTCCGCGCCAGGCTCAGCGCCCGGGCGGGCTCGGTCGGGCGGCCGCGGCCATGACGCAGGGTCCGGGCGGGCGCGCGGCCCCCCCGCCCCCCGCACCCCCGGAGCCTGAGGCGCCCACCACCTTCTGCGCGCTGCTGCCGCGCATGCCGCAGTGGAAGTTCGCGGCCCCAGCCGGCTTCCTGGGCCGCGGCCCGGCGGCGGCGCGGGCTGCGGGAGGCGCGGGGCCGGCGGGGGGAGCCGAGCCCGAGCCCGAGCCGGCCGCCTCGGCCGGCTCGGCCGGCGTCCCGGCGCTGGCGGCGGCGGTCCTGGGCGCCTGCGAGCCGCGCTGCACCGCGCCCTGCCCCCTGCCTGCGCTCAGCCGCTGCCGGGCTGCCGGGGCGCGGGGGTCGCGGGGCGCGCGGGGGGCAGCCGGGCCCCCGGACTCCGCCGCCGACGAGTGGATCCGCAAAGGCAGCTTCATCCACAAGCCGGCGCACGGCTGGCTACACCCGGACGCCAGGGTCCTGGGGCCCGGGGTCTCCTACATCGTTCGGGTGAGTGGGCCGGCGCGACCCTGAAATCCCATCCTCCCCGGAGCCCCAGCCTGGGCACAGGGGCTCCCATCCCCCACTTCTTTCTCTGGGACACTCTGGACCCCGAGAGCCAGATCTCTTTCCGTCCCTCCTTCTCTCCCCATCACCCTAGACCCCCATCGCCAGCCCGCGCTCAGCGGGCCGCCCCCACTCGGGAGGCACTGGGGTCCAGGTTCCCACGGCGTCACGTGGGGAGGGCGGGGAGAGGGCGGCTGGTGGGAGGGGGGCACGCATGCGCGGGTTAAGCGGAGCCCCCGTTCCGTCGGCCAGAGTCCGCGGGGTGGGGGCGTCCTGATACCCAGACCCCCACTGAAACCTCCTTCCCAGACTACAGAACCGGAGACCTTGGCCTGAGGTGGGGCGCAGAGAGGCCGGGCCCCGCTAGGCCCCAGGATTCGAGATGTGAGACTCCAGGAACTTGGAAGGTGCTGTAAGGGAACAGGTCTTCATTTGTCCTGGTTTTATTATGAACCTTTTGGACGTACGGAAACGTGGGCCGATGGCCGGCCCGTACTAGCGCCCACGCCTGTGAACGCTGCGCGCTCCCCGCTCAGCCTGTCTGCCCCTGTGTGTAGTTTCTGATGAACCGTCAGGAGGCAAGCGGCCCGGGGGAAGGCGCTCCGTAAAATGCTTCCGTGCGGCCCCCTGGCCCACTGGGGCCCTGCCCGTCCACAGTTCATTGTCACATCCAGGGTCCGGCAGTATTCACAGCGCCTCAGTCTGGTTTTTGGGACCAGGATCCTGGAGGTCTGTGTCTTTGCAGTTGGCTGTTTTGTCTTTGGTTCTTTTACAACCTCTCCCCCCCTCGCCCCCCACCCCCGTACTGCGTTGAATAGTATCCCCCCAGATTCATGACTTTCGGAACCTGCGAATATGGTTTTTATTTGGAAATAGAGTCTTTGTCGACATAATCAAGTTAAGATGAGATCACACTAGATTAGGGCAGCGTATTGGATAAGAAGAGGGAGATTTGGACACAAACGCACCGGGAGGGCCCACGTGACAATAGGGGAGAAATGGAGCGATGCATCCACAAGCCAAGGGACACTGAGGGTGGCCGCTCACCACCACCAGACGCTGGAAGAGGCGGGAAGGGCCCTCCCCTGAGCCCATCACCGCCAGGGAGCAGGGCTCTGTCACACCTTGATTCCCAACTTCCAGCCTCCAGAACAGTAGGGTCAGGGTTAGATTTCTGTTGTTTTAAGTCCCCAGTTTGTGGTGCTTTGTTGTGGCGGCCCCCAGTGGCCTTGACTCTTGTCCATGTGTGGTCCAGGCAGGGTCCACTGTGTCCCGGAAGCCTGTTAGACATGCCGGGCCTCAGGCTGCCCCAAACTCTGGGTCTGCCTGTTCTCTCCTGGCGTCTTCTAACTTGGCTGTGGCCCCTTCTTTTGCTGAATCTCAGCTTCACTGGATTCAAGACTGATTTCGTAGTGAGATGTTTTGTGGGTGATGCCTTGGGCTTCAAACCACATCCTCTCAGGGGCGAGCTGTGTCTGCCCACCGGCCACGGCCACGGGGATTAGGAGTGTTCAGAATTCAGATACTCGTGTTGTTGAAGTGCAGGCTGTTGGATTATTCCAATGATCTTGACGGTTTTTTTTTTTTTTTTTTTTTGCGGTACGCGGGCCTCTCACTGTTGTGGCCTCTCCCATTGTGGAGCACAGGCTCCGGATGCGCAGGCTCAGCGGCCATGGCTCACGGGCCCAGCCGCTCCGCGGCATGTGGGATCTTCCCGGACTGGGGCACGAACCCGTGTCCCCTGCATCAGCAGGCGGACTCTCAACCACTGCGCCACCTGGGCAGCCCGATATTGACGTTTTCATCGATGCAGCAAATATTTAATGCATGCCTCGCCCTGCCAGGTGCTGATGGTATCGTAGGAAATGGGAAAGATCTGATCCCTGCTCTTACGGGGCTCAGATTTCTAGAGGGAGAGGCTGACAGTAAATAAATAAGAGACAAACAGGGAAATGGCAGGCACTGGTAGATGCTGTGCAGAAATTACAATCAAGTGATGTCAGAGCAAGAGACTGGTGGCTGCTTTTAGCCGGGCTGGTGGGCGAGGCGCCTCTCAGGAGATGCCATTTAAGCTGAGACCTGAAGCCACTGCGGCCCCAGACGTGAAACGATTGGGGAGAGAGAGTCCGAGGCAGGGGCTCAGCGGGCACATTCGGGGAGCTGCTGGAGACCCACGTGGTGGGGCTGATGGAGGGAGACAAGAGCAGGAATAAGATTTGGGGGCTGTGGGGAGAAGCTTGGCTTTGGATGGTTCTAGGCAGGGTCGCAGGGCAGCGTTGGAACTGAAAGGATCTTTTCTGTGGAAATGGGCTGGAGGGGGGCGGCTGGAAGGGCAGCAGAGAGACCTCGGAGGTGGCTGGGGAGCAGTCGGGTGAGCGGATGCAATGGACCAGGGCAGCGTGGGGCTGGGGAGAAAGGGGCCACAGCATCCATGTTGGAGACAAGCCAGCAGGAGTCGCTGGCTGATGGGTGTGGCGCCCTGACTCAGGCTGCCTGGAGAGGCGCGGCCCCGCGGGGCCTGAACCAGCCTCAGTGGCCTGCTCCTCCCCTGGGAGCCGCTTGTCTCCCTGCACCCACATCCACCAGGTGTCCTGGGAGCCACGGAGTCCCCTCCTGGTTCACAGAGAAGTGTGAAGTTAAGGCAGGAGCAGCCGTATCCCAGATTACGCAGGGACAGGCAGGTCCTACCCTGGGTCCTCAAGAGGGGATGTGTGTCCCCACTTATGTAAGGTGGGGAAACTGAGGCACAGAGAGGCAGGGCGGTTACATGGTGAGAATCCAGGACCAGACCCAGAGCTGAGGCTCCTCTCAGAGCCTGAACTCGCTGCCACCTGGCAACTACCAGGGTGGTTGGCAGACTAACGGCCCCAAAGACGTCCCCGTCCTGGTCCCGGGCCCCGAGGATGTGTCACCTCACAAGGCAGAGAGGACTTTGCAGGAGGGATTAAGTTAAGAACCCCGAGATGGGGAGGACCCTCGATTCCCCGCGGGGGTCCAGCGTCATCCCAGGGTCCTTATTAGAGGGAGGCAGGAGGGTCAGACGCAGAGAGAGACGGGAGATGCTGCGCTGCTGGCTGTGAGGATGGAGGAGGGGCCGCGAGCCTGGGATGCGGCGCCTCTAGAAGCTGGAATAGGCGGGAACCGATGCTGCCCTGGAGCCTCCGGAAGGACCAGCCCTGCCCACGCCTGCATTTAGCCCCGTGAGACCCCAGTCGGACTTCTGACCTCTAGAACTGTCAGGGAATACATTTATGTTAAATTTGTGGTAATTCGTTACAGCAGCAAGGGGAAACTAATACAGCAGCTGACTCACCTACCTGATGTCACAGAACCCTCACAAAACCCTGTAATGGTCCCTGTTTTGAGACCAGAAAAGGGAGACTCAGCGAGCAGAGATGCAATCAGGGCACCTGGGTTTCTAGACGCTAGTGTGGAGCCTCCAACCCTGAGATTTCCTACCCAGTTTCTAGGGGAGGAAACGGAGGCACAGCCGCGTCAAGGAGCCCGGCGAGGGTGGTAGCAGCTGTGGTGCCTTTAGCGGCATTGCGGCAGTCCTGACCCAGAGCAGTTTAGACCCACGACGACCTTGATCATCTCACGGGAGAAGCAGCCCCGGGCGGGTGGCGGCTCTGGGGTTGGTTAATTTCACGGCTTGGGGATCCTGTCATGGATTCACGTTCTTTTCATCTGTGTTGGGGGTGAATAGTGTCCCCAACCTGATTTGGAAATAGGGTCTTTGCAGATGTCATTGGGTAAGAAGAGGCCCTCCTGCATTAGGGTGGCCCTGGACCGAGTGACTGGCGGCCTTGAGAGAAAGCCATGTGAGGACACGCGTGCAGACGCTGGCCACGCAGCTCGAGGCCAGGGAGGCAGGAGGACAGCTACAGCGGAGGCCGGAAGGGGCGGGAGGGAGCCTCCCCTGTAGCCTCCGGGAGGACCCGGCCCTGCGACACCTGGGTGAGGGGTGTCTGGCCTCCAGGACTGGGAGACAAGAAACGTCTGCTGTTTTGAGCCGTCCAGCTTGTGGGGCTTTGGCCCAGCCATCCCCAGAAACGCATGCAGCACCCTTGCCGTGCTTTTCCTTTCTCAGATCAGTTCCTCTGTCCCCTCACCCTCCAGAAAAGAACCCTCTCCTGCCAGGTCCTTCTGTGAATAAGGATGCCTTTTCCAGAAAGCCCCAGACAGTGTCCTGTGACGTTCCCTAAGCTGCCCGTGGGACTAGCCTAGACCAGTGCCGCCCAGAGGCGGATGTGGAATGTTCCAGATCCGTGCTGTCCCATTGGTAGCCACGTGTGGCCACGAGCACTCGAATGGGGCTGGGGCAGCTGAAGAACTCAACTTTAAGTTTGCTTCATTTTAAGCTAAGTTCAAGTGGTCGCCTGGCACTCTGCCCCCCTGTTGGACGGCTCTGGTCTAGATGGATACTTGCCCCGTCTGTGGATCCATCCTGTTTCCTTCCATCGGGGCTGCTTCCACGCCCGGCACTTCTCCTTTTGTTACCGAGTCCAAGCTTGTACTGGTCTATGCAGGACAGGCCAATAAATCGAGAGCCGAGTCGTTGGGGCAAGGAATAGCGACTTGATCTGGAGAAGACAGTGGACTTGCGTCCCAAAGAGCCATCTTCCCTGAGACAGCGTGCAGGATTCTTCCATACTGAAAGGGGCGGGACTAAAGCCAAGCACTTCCTGGTTCCCGTCAGCCTCCGGAGGGCAGGTGTTAATTTCTTCCTCCTGCAGGAGGCAGGATTCCCAGAGATGGGCCACTGTGTTTAATTTAAGCTTTTAGGCAACATCCACATAGCGATTAGTTTGTAATAGAATACAGGGTTTCTTCCCTGTTACACTTTTACGAAAATTCTACTAACAAGCCCTTTCTGCTTTTCGAGGTGCCCTCACCGTGCGCTCTCTCGAGTTTCTCACGAGGAAGGCTTTGGATGGGGCACA